TTCTGGGCTCACATTATTTTAAACAAGTTTTTCACCTACATGAATGACATTCAAAATTTATCTCTGACATAAGACAGCGTAATTGGCCCACATGTGATAAGACTTCTCTACTCCCAGGACCCTGGCCAGTTGTACCCTGTTCATTGTTGGAGCTAAAAATACCCACAAAATCACAAAATGTCCCCTTAGGAGTGCTTATTTTCTTCACCCCAATCAAAATACTACCTTGGCAAATCTTGACTTGGCCTACAAGAATTTGCCTTTGAGGTACAGGGAATTGGGTCAACCTGAGTTATCTCTTAATTTAAAAATATTAAAAATTGTGCTCAAGTATATACACGTAATAAAATTTACCATTTAAACCAACTGAAGTGTATGATCTGACAGCATTAAACATTCATAGTGTTGTGTAACCAATACCATCACTCGTCTCCAGAACACTTTCATCTTCCCCTCCTGTCTGTTTTCTTTCTCATCTTCTTAGGTCTTCTCAGTTTGGGTGGATTGTTCCGTTTTTCGATTCTGATTAGGCCATGTTTGTGACTTAATTTCTTGTCTCTGGTCCAGTTGGTGATGCTCTGTCCCCTGCCTTTGCTGACCATGCCTCTGTCCCCAGCCATGTGGCGACCACACATCATACCACCACTCAGCAGCCCAGTCCTCCATAGCTCTGCCACTGTGACCAGGGCTGTGTGACTCCTTCTCATTCTCCATTCCAGAAAGTTCACCTTTCCTTGGGCACATCATTTCAAACTCACTTGGTCCTTCCAGACCTTCTCACATCCAACCCGAGTTTCCCGCTTTGTTTGTCTACACCTGTCTGAAATCATATGCTGTTGGCTGCATATACTTTTAGGGAGGCAACCTGGCAGGATGGACAGAGCACTGGACCTAGAGTCAAGGGATGGTGCGTGTCATGCCAGTTCTGTCGCGTACAAGCTGGGTGACCAACTGCAAAAGTTATCCTCAATCTGAGGTCTGAGTTCCTCATTTGAAAAAACTGAGGGGGCTGGTCACTAGATGATCACCAGCTTTAAAAATACAAGTCCATAAGTTAACTTATATAAAAGATAATATATAGTTACCTTCTAGAATTTTCATAAGTGTAGAATACAAATGAAGATCATTAAGGCATAAAATAAGACCATATAGCTATTACCATAATGAAGATGCTTATTTCTGCTTCTTAAAATATTTTTTTGGTACATATGGACACAATATCTTTATTTTTTATTTATTTTTATGTGGTGCTGAGGATTGAACCCAGTGCCTCACATGTGCAAGGCAAGCACTCTGCACTGAGCTCTAAACCCAGCCCTTATTACTGCTTTTTAATGATAAAACATATAATTAGGCACCCTATTAATTGGTATTCCAAAAACCTAAGACTGGTTAATATAATCCACAAATCCAGGTATGATTTGCTTTATTTAGTAGAGATGTTGTGCTTGGTAAATATTTGTTAAATGATGTGGAAAAGTTATGTAAATCCTTGATTTGGAAGTATTTAGGAGATAATATCTCTCAGATATTCAGCAGCTGACTAAGCTCCAAAGTCCACACCAAGGTCCTGGAGCATCAGCAGATGTGGGAGGTTGATTTATGCCTGCTACTGTCAAAACATGGTTTGTTTTTTATTGTCCTTTAGGAACATTATTCTAAAAGTCAGCCTGACAGCGATGTTTTTCAATGAAAAGAGAAGCTACGACCCAAAGGAGCTGGGATAAGAGATCTGAGGAGTCAGATATTATCATATACTCTGTTCCCATTTACAGAACACTTCAAATGTTTCAGTGTTGTTGTCAGAAGTCATGGTCCCAGTTAGTGCTATCCTGTGCCATACCAGAGGCTGAGATGAAAAAAAAAAAAAAAGAATGTGTACTATATATTATAGAGCCGATTACATGGTTTCATGTATTTTTAAAAAATGCTTATTGGCTTTAATGAAAATATTTTTGATAAGTTTGCTTCTGTCAAAGCATAAAGAATAAACTCTGTTTTCAGTATAAATAAAATATTTAAACATAAAATTATATATTTTAATATACCCAACTTTCAATTGTCCAATATTTTAACTACCTTAATATTCTAGAAAAATTATCCGTGTATAAAATATTTTTACATAGCTCTTATTATAATTAAACATTTAAAACACATAAAAAATGTGCATGGGATGAGCACTTTTCCTTTTGCCTTAAGTTTTACTATGCTGTAGTATGACAATCAGGTCTTGTTTTTATTTTTATTTATTTGTTTATTTTTATACCTTTATTTTATTTATTTTTATGTGGTGCTGAGGATCGAACCCAGCATCTCGCAGGTGCTAGATGAGTGCTCTACCGCTGAGGCACAACCCCAGCCCCTAAATCTTGTTTTTAACTAAAATAATATTTTGCTCATCATGGAATTTTACATTAATTTGGACTTTTAAAAATACTGTATTAAAATGTTATTTCCCGGGCTGGGGTTGTGGCTCAGTGGTAGAGCGCTCGCCTAGTACATGCGAGGCTCTGGGTTTAATCCTCAGCACCACATAAAAATAAATAAATAAAAATGTTATTTACCTTGATTGATTACTGAGTTTTGTGCCTCCTTGCCCTTTATTCTTGAGTATGTTTCACTTGCCTGGCCCTGGTGTGCTCAACCCTCCATCCCAACAAATTGCAATTCAAAAACAGCTGGAGGGACCATCATAGTGGTGCATGCCTGTAATCCCAGCAGCTCAGGAGGCTGAGGCAGGGGGATCGAAAGTTCAAGGCCAGTCTCAGAATTTAATGAGGCCCTAAGCAACTTAACAAGATGCTGCCTATAAATAAATAAATAAATAAATAAATAAATAAATAAATAAATGGCTGGGGATGTGGCTCAGTGGTTGAGCACTCCTGAGTTTAATCCTTGGTACCAAAACAAACAAACAACAACAAAAAAAATCCCACAAACAACTAGTAGAATGAAATTGTTCTTCCTGTACTAGAGGCAGCATTCATATCTAACCAATTCCCTATAATCTGAGTTCAGGAAGCAACATTTCATGGGACAGGGGTCAGAACATGAGCTTTGATGTTAGACAAATTTGGAAAAAAATCCTGACCTGTCTTCTTAGCAGTTTGAGCACTTATTTGCCCAATCTGAACTTGTTTTCTTATTTGTGAAAGGGATAATTTTTCAGGGAGACTTAAATGGGAGAGCTCATGTAAAGCATCTGTCCTTGACAAATGTTAACTTGTCTTCTCTGTTTTAGAGATAGATAGTAAATTGATTCATAGAGTTACTCAAAGGTGGACTCCTCAAAATGCCAGCATCAGGATTTGAACCTAGGTATAATGCACTCTCTTCATGAAGTTGCACTAATTATTTCTAGCTGCAGCAGAGTTCTATCTTTCTAGTGATATAATTTCTACACCGCTCAAGGGAACTTAGATTGGCAGCTCTGGAACACAGGTGGAATGTGTAGCCCCTCACCCTCACAGCAACACAAGTATTAGTTTCATCTCTTTCTTTATATATATATATTTTGTAGTTGTAGTTGGACACAATACCTTTATTTTATTTATTTATTTTTATGTGGTGCTGAGGATCGAACCCAGGGCCTTGCACGTGCTAGATGAGTGCTCTACCGCTAAGCCACAACCCCAGCCCTAGTTTCATCTCTTTCTGACTTTATAAATATTTATTAGCAAGGTATGGGATTCCCAAAGGATTGGTAGAGAGCCAAGGAACTTGAATAATATGCTTTTCAAGATAGGAGACAGCTTGTAGGTAGGAATTGGATATGTTTATAAATTATATATATTTTGGTAAATTCCTTATGATAATTTAGATTTTATCTCATTTTAGAGGCTGGCTCTAGAATAAACTTAGGTTTGTTTAGTGATGGCTAAAACATTTTTAACTTTTCTAGGGGTGATTAGCTATACTTACAATAAAATTGAATATGTAAATTTTGAGACATTTTTATGATAAGAAATAGTTTATAATAAACAACCTATATGTCTAAGAATAAAATAAAGCTTATATATGTTATGGCATGACATAGAATACTATACAGTCATTAAAAATATTCTCAGTGACTATGGGAAAAGAGCTCATGATAAAATATAAAATGAAAAAAACTGGTTCATAAAATTGCATAACAGGAATAATTCTGTTTAAAAAAGAATCTACATGTATACAGAAAATAACTAAGTAAAGATATGAAAATGTTAACAGTGGTTAGTGGCAGTATGATAGGTGATTTTTAAGTTTTTAAACATGCATGCATGGCTTTTTTTTTCAAATTGTCTATAACGAGCAAGTGTTATTTTCTATAGTTAAAAATATTAAACTCGATTTTTTATGGTGGACTTTAAAGTAGGTATCCCAAATAGAACTGCCCAATTTTATTCTGGAGCAAATAAATTTAGCAACTAAAAAAAATCTCAATGTATGTTTACAAAGTCATACGAACCTTTGAGTAAGGGAAATTTTGAGCTGCCTTTGTCCCCATTTAGCCATAGTTCATGATGTTAAAAATCTTCATTCCTGGTGCCACAGGTTGTCACAGTTTTTACAAATTTGTTCTTATATGTACTTACCTCTGGAATAGAAAAGAAGTTAGGAGTAAAAATGTATAATGGAATGCTGTGTGTAGGGGAAAAATTGGTTGACCACAGAAAGAAAAATAAACTGTTGCTGTAGATGGCAGACGCCATTTACCGCAACAGTAATTAGAACAAAAGCTTTGACTTGTTTCTCGGCTGTGATATTAAAGACATTTGGTATGTTACGATGCATACTCCTTCCAGGTCTTTTTCCTAATACCCACCAGCTTCTTGTGAATGTTTCCCATTCCTTCTGCTGAGATGTCTGTATCTTAATCCTCTTACATGAAGCTGTCTCCTTATCATTAGAAGGCAAGCAGATGTGGCCTAACTGTTCCTTGTCACTTCCTTCCTTTGACTGGCTTTCCCCGTTTATATGGCCACCCTGTCTCATTTGTAAAAGAGATGAATCGTTTTTTTAGCGAGACTTGAAGGCAATAGTGCACAAACAGCGGTGATCCTGTGGAACTCTGCTGTTGCCCCCACCTCTGTTGATTTGTCCTGGAAGTGGGGACTTCACACAAACCGTATCATGTCTTGGCTTTTCCTCTGGTAAAGGAAAGTTTAGATGTCAACCTTGGAGACTTGCTGTTGGTCGCTATAGGTTGAATTGTGTTTTCCCCACAGATATATTGAAGTCCTAACCCCTAGGACTCAGAATGTGACCTTATTTGGTTCTTTACAGAGGTAATCAAGTTAACATGACTGCTTGAAAAGTGGAAATTTGGACTCAGAGACAGACACACACAGAGAAGGAAGACAGTGTGAAGACACACAGGAGAAGATGGCAATCTGACTGGAATGATACCCTTACAAGCCTGGGACACCAAGGATTGATGACAAACACCAGAAGGTAGAGGAGGGAGGGTAGGTTCTCCCCTAGAGGATCAGAGAGACAGGAGCCTTGTTGGTATCTTGATTTCAGACTTTCACCACCCAGAACTGTGAGAAAAGACATTTCAGTTGTTTAGGTCACCTGGTTTTTGGTGTTACAGTATCCCTAGAACAGAATCCCTGGTGCGTCCCTTCCGTGGAGAAGACTAGGGGGAGTGGGCGATGTTTACAGGGAGCAGAGTTGCAGAAGAACCAGCGAAATTCTTTGTAGCTGTTGACTCTTGGTTTTAATTCCTTTTAGGCTTAAGTGCGTGGCTCTCCTTTCTGTATATTGTTCATTCCAAAGCTGTTGGAGTCCATGAGCGAATCTCCCCTTTTTAGGAAAATGGAGAGAGTCTAAGTTAACTGAGTTGGGTTTCTGGCACTTAGAACGACCGTGTAACTGATGAAGACTTCTAAGTGTCCAAGCAGTTCAGGAACATGACATCTTCTAACACAAACGATAACAACTTCTTCAAGTGTCGTTCTTATTGAAAGCCGAGTATCTCCATTTCTTACACTATGAAACATGAACATACTGAATTCTCTTATATTTAATAGGAGAAATTCACTTGCAGAAAATATGGCTTGACTACATGGATAAAAGCAGGTCTCACACATTGGGGCTTTTAATATATTTGCTGTTTGTTCATTTATGTTGTCTTTTTACTTTCCATCTTAGCTGTTAAAAGTTAAGAAAATGGCAGAGTGTTTGCCTAGAGGAAATATTTGTGGGAGAAATGAGATATTTTTGTCGGTACTGGGGATTGAACCCAGGAGCTCTCTACCACTGAGCTACATCTTCAACCCTTTTATTATTTAAAAAATTATTATTATTATTACTATTACTATTATTATTATTATTTTGAGCAGAATCTTGCTCAGTTGCCCAGGCTGGCCTTAAACTCATGATTCTCCTACCTCAGCATCCCTAGTCTGGGAGGAAGGAACTCCCCAGAAGGTGGTGGGGAAAATAAATTTTTGTTCAATGATGGAACATGAACTATGTGGCGGGCATTGAGCTAGGTGCTAGGTACAATAGTGATTAGAATATATATTCATTTCTTCAAGGAGAGTATATTTTAGTTGGGGAAAGAAAGAAGTAAACAGGGAATGAAAGGGCTGGGGTTGTAGCTCAGGGGCAGAGCACTTGCCTAATATGCATGAGGCCTTGGATTCCATCCCCAACAAAGCAAAAACAAATCAGAAACAAAAACAAAACAGACCTAAATCAGGGAGATGAAAACTGTGGCTTACGTGTTCTGTTTGGAATGCTATTTGAAACTGTGAGAGGGCTATCTAATCAGTGTGGCTGGAAAGGGAAATTTCTTTGGAAAATGTGATATCTAAACTGAGACCTGAAGAGCTAGAGATTTGGCCAGGTGCAGGGATGTGGGGTTAGGGAGAAGAAGAGACGGGCATTCTAGACTGAGGCAAAAGCATGTTGAAAAGACCTGGAGGCAAGAGAGGACCTGGGATATCAAATAATCCAGAACAGCTAGATTGTATAATGATTGTATAATGCTTGGTTGAGGTCATAGTGATAAGCTGGAAATAGATCAAGAAAAACCTTTATGCCCTTCCATAGGGCTTGACTTTGGACTGCAGGCAGTGGGCATTTTTTTTTTTTTTTTTGGTGCTAGGGATTGAACCCAGAGCCTTGTGCATGCAAGGCAAGCACTCTATCAACTGAGCTATACCTGCAGCCCCTGTATTTTAAGCAGGAAAATAAGAAAGATCAGATTTGAATCTTTGAAAGCTGCAGCATATTTGAAAATGCTAAGAATTTCAGTTCAGAAGAATGTGACGTAATGTTGGTTTGATATGGTGGTGGCCTCCTGCACCAAGATAGTGGCAGTAGAAACAGAGGGAATAGATTGATTCGAGAGAAGTTAAGAGGTGCAATCGATAGGCCCTGCTCATGGATGACTGTGAAGGAAAGAAAGTGAAAGACAATATTCAGATATTTGCCTTAGGTTTTGCTGGATCATGGTGTTACTCACTGAGGTTGTGGATACAGAAGAATGGTTTTGGAAAGGAGGGGGAGATGCTGACGTCATTACTGAATGTGAAGGGCCAGTAGGACAAGCAGTGGAGATGTCAATCAGAGACTTGGATATACAGCATTGATGCTGAATGGAGGGATCTGGCAATTTGGAAGCTGAGTGAAGATACTTAGTAAGTGAAACTGTGCATGAGAGTACTCACAGGGAATGGATGAGATAACCAAGGGAGAATAAATAGTCATCTCTCAATGTCCATGGCTTCTAGGACCCTCTTTGGATACTGAAATCCATGGATGCTCAAGTCCCTCATGTAAAATGGCACTGTATTTGTATTTAACCTATACATATCCTCTTGTATAATTTATTTATATTTTTTTAGTTGTAGATGGACACAATACCTTTTTATTTTATTTAGTTATCTTATGTAGTGCTGAGGATCGAACCTAGTGCCTCACATGTGCTATGCAAGCACTCTACCACTGAGCTACCATCCCAGCCCCACTGTTTACTTTTTTAAAAAAATATTTTTAGTTGTAGATTGACACAATACTTTTATTTTTGTTTATTTAGTTTTTTATGTGATGCTGGAGATAGAACCCAGTGCCTCATACATGTTAGGCCACAACCCCAGTCCCTAATTAAAAAAAAAATCTTTTTAATTTTTTAATTGTAGTCGGACACAATAGCTTTATTTTATTTATGTATTTTTATGTGGTGCTGAGGATTGAACCCAGTGCCTCACATGTGCGAGGCAAGCACTCTACAACTGAGCCATAACATCAGCCCCTCTTATATACTTTAAATCATCTCTGGATTACTTATATGATTTAATGCAATGTAAATAGTTGTGCTGTATTATTTAGGGAATGATGACAAGAAAAAAATAAGTGTGTGTATTCATGTTAGGCAAGTGCTCTGCCCCTGAGCTACAACCCCAGCCCTTTCATTCCCTGTTTTATTTATTTTTTTCAATATTTCTAACCAGGCATGTTGCTTCAATTCATTCATTCATTCATTCATTCACATTTTTATTGGTGCATTATAGTTGTACACACCAATGGGATTTGTTATATATTCATCCATGCACACAATATAACAATGTAATTTGGCCAATATCACTCCTCAGCACTTCTTCCCTCCCCACCTCCCATGCGTTGGTCCCTTTCCTCTACAGATCTTCCTTTGGTTTTTAGGAGATACGCCCCACCTTTGTTTTCCATTTTTTCTCTCCAGATTCCACATATGATAGAAAATATAGGGCCCTTAACCTTCTGAGTTTGACTTATTTCCACTTAACATGATGGTCTCTGGTTCCATTCATTTTCCTGAAAATACCATAATTTCATTTTTCTTTATTGCTGAATAAAACTCCATTGTGTATGTATTTTCTTTATCCATTCATCCATTGATGGACACTCAGGCTGGTTCATAGTTTGGCTATTGTGAATTGTGCTGCTGTAAACACAGGTATTCATGTACCACTGTAGTAAAATGCCTTTAATTCCTCCGAGTAAATACCAAGGAATGGTATATCTGGGTTATATGGTGGTTCCATGCCTAGTCTTTTGAGGAACCTGCATACTGATTTCCAGAGTGGTTATACTAATTTATAGTCTCATCAATAACATAAAGTGTTCCTTTTTTTCCACAACCTCTCCAGCATTTATTATTATTTGTATTCTTTTTTGAAATATTTATTTTTTAGTTGTAGTTGGACACAATACCTTTATTTATTTATTTTTATGTGGTGCTGAGGATCGAACCCAGGGTCTCGCAAGGCGAGTGCTCTACCGCTAAGCCACAACCCCAGCCCATTATTTGTATTCTTAATGACAGCCACTCTGACTGGTATGATATGGAATCTCAGGGTAGTTTTGATTTGCATTTCCCTAATTGCTAATGATGTTGAACCTTTTTTTCCTCCCCGTGTATTGGCCATTGTGTTTCTTCTTTTGAGAACTTAGATACAATTCTTTTTCAAATATTTTCAATCCACAGGTGGTTGAGTCCGTGGATGTGGAATCCACAGATATGAAGGGCCAACTGTATTATGTAAAAAAAAAAAATGTGAAAAAAATTTGAGAAATGCAACCTTTAAAGTATCATTCTTGGTAGCTGCCCTACATAAACAGCTTGACCTCTGGAACTCTCTACTAAGACTCATGGATGTGACACCCCTACTGGATTGTCACATTCCCTTTGAATGAAGCATGTATTACAACAGTAATGGAAAATTTATAAATGAGAAAAAAAACCCTCTTGGCGCTCCCCTAACCTGAACCTCTGGCTCCACCCCATATGCTTTCCCACATTCAGCTGGGTTTCTCCAAGGAGCTCTCAAATGCTGTGTGAGTGTGAAGGGTGAAGGATTCCCAGGACTTAACCTTTGGCTTTTGATTCAGTCCAAAGGTGAAAGTTGCTGTCAGGCTTGGAGCAAACGCATGCTGAGGCCACTGTTTGAGGGGCCACTGTCATTTTAGGTTGACAAAGAACTGTACACACTCCTAATCCTGGTCTCAAAGTATATGAGATCAATTGCAGAACAAATATTAATATTTCACATCCCTGTTAGAAGTCTGAAAACTTTTCTAATTTCAAGTATCCTTGGACTTATTTCCTGGGCTTATTTATAAAGGGAGAGTCTAAACCTGTTTTTGAGAAAAGATAGAATTAAAAATCAGCAAATAGTTGTTTATGCCATACAGATAAGTTCCTTCTCAGAAAGTGAAGTTGTTCTTTCCCTCAGGGACTGCAGAACTCCTTGTAATTACTGCCATTTTCAGATCATGAGCTGTCTTTGCAGCATCTTTGCTTTCTTGGTGAGGGAAATTGGTAACTATTGTTTAAAAACAATAATTGACTTTTAGCTATTAAATTTAAATGTTTCGGGATATACTAGTAAATGTTTTCTGGCATATGAATGCCCTATAAAGAATGTAAAAATGCTATGATCTTGAATTGGAAAACAGGACAT